CTCGCGCTCTTATCATCGGATCGGACATCCGGCCTCGGCCTCGTGGGCTCGGCCTTAATGGGGGGATACTGTCATATTCCGTACCTGAAGCTTCTCGTCCGGTCCGGTCCGTCCGTTCTCTCGGTTCCATTCTAGAATTCATTTCCCCGTGTCCCCATTTGTATATGCTTCTTGATGCCCCTATACGCCCGGATCCTTCTGACAGTTAATATCCGGGTTCATTCTGATCCGTCCGTTAGTCTATTCATTTTCCTTTCATTTAACTTGTCCCCCCTGTTTCATTTAATCTCCGGCTCCATTCTCGATCGTCCGCAGCAGTTCATATCCGTTAGTACATTTTCTACATAGCCCTCTGATCCGAAGACTGCGCTTCGGCCGGACGTCCGTCGGATACCTTATAGTATATAAACCCCTTGTAACCCGTAGTATATCCTCAGTTCGAATATCATCTTAGACTCAGTTCATTCCTCGTGTTCCCTCGGCTCTTAGGATTGTCTTCCTAGTCCGACCCTCCGAGCCTCGGGATTATATCCCTAAGGCTAAATCCCTCCGCTTCTACCTTCGGGTAGTCTGTACCTTGTTAGTTTCTACCCGGACGAAGTCTCGGGTAGTCTTCTCTCTCTCGTCCGGCCCGTCTATACCCTTCGGCCGACGATATCCAAGACCCTGTAAATTAGGGGCACGTACTCGGGTAAAGAGCGCAGCGCACGAGCTGAAGCTAAGCCCCTCCGGTCCGACCCGTTGAACACGGTCTTAACACTATCCCGAAAAGTGCGTTGTTCCACGGGCCTTCTGAAAAATGTTGAACCACTCATTGATTGACAGGGTTTTAATCGCAACTATCAAGGACATGGGTTTGTGTCCATGCCCTCGATGTCTGACACCCAAAACCTTGTTCAGTTTTCTTGGGCTCGCGAGGGACATGAGAAGACGTATAACGAACCTTCGGGTGTATGTTATGATGAACGTTGTCAAGGCCCGTGAATTTATCTACGCATCAGGAAATACTATAGATGGTGCAAAAATTGAGAATACTCTTGGAGAGGGCTCATGGGTGCCCACTCTGGCAAGAAAACTATCTCTTGCCATTTTATGATCAGCTCACATATCTACTCGTAGAATCAATTTGTCCAGAAGCTTACACCGCTCGGCCTCGACCCATTCCGCATGCTCGTCGTGGACTTCATGCACGAGTGCGAACTGGGCACCTGGAAGGGGCTATTTACACACCTTATAAGGCTGCTCTATGCCCTCCCCGGGGGTTGTAAGCTTGTCGCGGATCTTGACAGCAGGTATGAATAGCTCGTATGGGATGCTGTTGCCATCAACATTTAACTTCATTATAGATTTCGAGAGGTCCCGACCTTTGGTAACGGAGTCATTCGCAGGTTTTCAAATAATACCTCTGAGATGAAAAAATTGGCGGCGCGTGACTTTGAAGATATCTTACAGGTTTTTGTGGTTACTCGTTATCTGCATTTGACCCGCTGACAGCCCTTTATTATCAGTGTGCCATTCCGGTCTTCGAAGGGTTATTCCCCGCCGGTCATGATGAACTGGTGCAGTCACTGTTGTATCGATTTGCACAGTGGCACGCACTTGCTAAGCTCAGGATTCATTCAGAATCTACTCTCACTTTTCTCGAAGAAACGTTCAAGAAGTTGTCGCAGAAGTTGCGCAAGTTCCAAAGCTTCACCTGCGCCGCCTTCACTTCTGTGGAATTGCCCAAAGAGAGAGCCGCTCGCCAACGAAAGAACGCTCGATGTGCTGACACAAACGGTACCTCTATGGAATCAAATCGGCCGAGGACGAAGAAATTCAACTTGGGCACATATAAATTCCACGCGATGGGAGACTATGTGAGGACCATTAGGTTCTTCGGGACCACGGATTCTTTCACTACTCAAATTGTGCGTACCCTTCAGTTGCTTTCGCGCTATGTACAAGAAACTGAGTTCGGTCAGGGAGAGCTTGCTCACAAAGCTCTGAAAGCATTTTATCCGCTGACAAGCAAGTTAGACACCCCGGCACAGTTAGCCAAGCACGAGCGTAGGCGTCGTGTACTACGGCGGGTAGCAGAAGAAGGAGGTATATCATCCCCTAGCAGTCAACCCCGCACCGACGTTCCCCCATCGACATTATCTGAACAACATCATTATATTGCACCTACTCGGAACAATCCAGTAAATATTTTCGCATTTCTCCGAGAACATGACGGTGATCCAGCTATTAAGGTAGAAGTAGCAGTACATTTTTGACTCACGCTACACGTTACTCATAATCGCTATCAGAATTTCGTACCAAGGCTGAGGGACCATATTCTCTATAGGTTGCGGGAGCTAGATATTAGCTACTGCGACCATACCTTCACGGACGAGGAACGCAACACTGTTATAATTCCGAACAATATGATCTACTCGGTCCAGACAATGCAAGTGCACTATACGACATACGACTTGCGGCGCGAATACGATACTATCAACCCCAGGACTCACGGGGATGTAATGGTACTCTCGGGGGAGACCACACCTAATCACCCATATTGGTATTCCCGCGTATTGGGTATCTTTCACATGGAGGTGTGGCTCGATAGTCATGATGGCGATCAACCCGTGAAGCATCACCTGGAGGTTCTTTGGGTTAGATGGCTGGCGGCCTTGCGGAACTATAAAACCGGTATGAAACATACCCGTCTTCCAAAGCTCGCATTTGTGGAGGAGTCGGACCCGGATGCGTTCGGGTTTCTTGATCCAGGGCAGGTTATCCGGGGAACACATCTGATTCCTGCGTTTGCCTCCAAACGTGGTGTAAGCTCCCTTCGCTACGGAAAATCGCTAGCACGTCCGGATGGGCAACTAGATGACTGGGAGAAATATTATGTTGGAATGTAAGTCTGATTATCACCTCCTTAGGCGCATCAATGCTTAAATGTTTGGCCCAGATTTGTTGACAGAGATATGTTCATACGTTATACTTACTTTGGTATCGGACATTCACCTATGGTGCGGAGGATTGCCCGAGATTGTCTCAGCCCTGAGTCAGCGAGTCAGGCCAACTCGGATGCTATGGATACTGCAAACAATGGTGACTCGGACGTGGAGGACGCAGAGCAAGACGAGGTCGGTCATGGTTCCTCGTATGATGAAATTAATGATGGACAGAATGGCGGCGATGATGAGGGTTGTGAAGAATATGATGGTGGGGGTTGTGAAGACTACGATGATGAGGTTAGCGGTGAGGAAATTGGCGAGGACGATGGTGAAGATGGGTACGATGATGTCTCTTTCTGAAACTCCCTCCAATATGATCATCAGAGAACCGATCGGTCCTTGCTATCATTATCATTGTCATACTCTACAAGATTCAAGTGCATACTCAGGCTAGTCATTGTGTAATGCAAAAAAAATTGGACCAATCATGACTCGGACTGTCGGATGTCAATTGTTTATTCTATTTCATGCTGAGCCTGCCTTACTCAAATACACTGAAGAGGGGAAGGATCATATTACATGGACACGTTGTCATGGTATCATCATGATGGCAGTCACTGGGCTTATTGGTCAGCTTTTGTGAGTGTATTACCTTGTTTGCTCCGTTTGTTATCAATCGCTGCGACTTCCACAGAATCATCGATAAGAGCTGATTCAACCAACACAGTGCGAGCAAGGCCATCACAAATGCTGGTCGACATTGCTACTCAAGAATTGTCCTGTGGAGCCACATGCGCACTGCCGCAGTCTCATGACCAGTATCCAGAACTACCCACTCTACCATCGTCATCGACTGCCGCATACTATCCCGCCACTTCTTCCCTTCCGCAATTTTTATTCTCCAATCAACCCATGTATCAAGAACCCTTTGGGACCTTCCTGCCGCCGCCAGTGGCTGCCGCGGACCAGAGCCATCATGACTATCGTCTCGCCATCTTTAACGCTAACCATCTGCCTCCCTCATCGTTTTCCAGCCAGCCCCCCTTTGGGCCCCCAATGTCATTCCCCGATCCAATTCTTCATCCGCGAGCATCATGTCGAACTGTAAGAAGGTCGCGCGTGGACTAGTCCAACACGGGTATGGGCTACGTCCCTCAGTCTGGTTGCGTACCTCCGAAATCCAGCACCAGGTGCAGATGGTGGAGAATCTCACCGCTTCGTTCCCCCGGGTGGTCTTACCTTGTTTGCTCCGTTTGTTATCAATCGCTGCGACTTCCACAGAATCATCGATAAGAGCTGATTCAACCAACAAAGTGCGAGCAAGGCCATCCCACAACAAATGCTGGTCGACATTGCTACTCAAGAATTGTCCTGTGGAGCTAGTAAGTCCCATGATTGTACTCTATCATGATCCTGATGATGATCTGGAGGAAAATAATCAATCAGATTTGTCGCAATGGAGTAGCCTAACCTTGATCTCACCAGTTGCTTGTGAAAAGCCATTGAATGACTCAATCCGAGTCATCGTGATGTTCCTCAGCAAAGGATGTCGAAGGTGATGGCAATACAAAGCCACGAATGACTCGACCTGAGTCATCGTGATATTCCTCGGCATAGGACGCCGACGGTGATGGTAATGGCAATGCTGCCGATATCATCGTGAATGACAGACAAAGGTTTAAGACTGTTGGGCCTCCATGACACGGTGATTGGTTACTTTTCAACCCACTTTGCCTCCAGGCTCAGAGGATGTACAGGCTCTTGATGAGTTGTTACTTCTCGATGAGCTGCGTCTCGGAGGAAGTGGAAGCTGATATCGCACCTGTAGTGTCTTTGTCCTGCCCTCTTTTTGGAATGTGCATTAATCAGCGAGCAACTCGTCGACCCTTCAGCCAGGACGTATACCGACCATACAACAAGAAACTCAACCCCAAACCCCACCACGAAGGAGACGAGATCGCGCGAAGGAGGCTGTTGATTCACAGATGATCTGCGCGTAGTTTCGCTGGCTAGATATAACTCGTAAGATGGTGGGTAGTTGAGGATCTGAGGCAGCCCTAATTGGTGTCTATGACTAAGTCATTATCCGGCGGGCTGACGACGTACTCGGCTTTTTACAGGCTCATGCTCCTCCTATGGAGGAGAAATGCCTTGTGGATCACTAGTTCATCCTGCACGTCGTGGTCTCACTATGTTCTTCGTCAGCTTTCTTCTACCGCCTTCGTCCTCCGCCTCAATATCATTTGGTCCCGCTCAAATACGATACAAATACGGGCGAGCGCTGATGTTTTTTGGAGAGGAAAGAAACGCCTCGTGACAGATCAGCAAGACGTCAACGTATTTGAATACTGCGATGGCTGGGCACCGTCGAAACACATTCAAGGTTTCGGTATCGATGAGGGTGGAAACATTTGGGCCCAAGCTTTTGTCACGAATGGACCCAACATCGCTGGGGAGGTTGCTTGTGTCGAGTTACAGCTGAAGAATCATTCGCTCAACTGGGTTTGTCGTGCTGATTCTCTTTGTCTATGACATCAACTTGACATGAATCTCGCAGACGTCTGGGGTTACGCTAACACTTTCTCGTGAACTTCGACTATCGTCACCTTCTGTGGATTAGGAGGCGTTAAAATTTACCGACACAGTTACTGAGGTCGGGTTCAGAGGTCAGGAGTATATGGTCCCCCCTGGCATTGAAGGTGTCGCCAACTTGGTGATTAATATCCCTCGGTCTTCCCGTGGATCTCACGGTGGTGCTTGCATCAGCAAACCACTAGGTTCTGTACAGCTCTGTACAGCTCTGTACAGAGCTGCACAGCATCCAAGCCAGACAGCTTGGTCCCTATTAGACAGTTGACTACAGTACTACTTCTTATTGTGAATTTCCGTACAGTAGCTCATAGATACCTAGAGGAAGGGACCTTGTACAGACATTGCCAATAACATGTCATTTGTGGTGCTTGCTCGCTGAAGGCGCTTACTGCTCAACTGTGGCACACTGGCAAAAACAATCACAATGATCACAATACTATGCATTCAATCACAGTGCCAGCAGAAAACACGATACATAGTAAATGATACTCGAGAACATGCAGCGCAAATAACCCTAGTAGTAGTAATACCTCAATCAAGAACGAACTGTAGATGATGATGCTTCGTTTCATTGCCGCCGTCGACCTTGGAGGACTCCGCCCTGTGTGAAAAAAAAAAGTTGAGTATTCAAAACGTCGTAGAAAAAAAATGCTCTTGCCATCCGGCTTCAGCCCACGAACGAAGCTGTCGGACCAGCTTGGCTCCGTGATAAGGATCCAACATGGTATCTTGCAGTAGCTTGAGCAACTTGCGATACATAGAGGCGTACTCCTTGGCGGAGAACTTCGGGAATGTCTTTCCGTTACCATTCTTGACTAAACCGTCAAAGACGCAGTTAAACTAGAAAAAAAAGATGTTAGTGCGTCGTCAAGTACATAGAAGCATCGAAAAATACCGCGGTACAGACCAAAGCCAAGCACTCCAATGGTAACTGCTCGCGGAAAACCTCGGGTCTCTTGCGAGCGACACGGTAAGGCCCGGTGTAATAGAATGAAATGGCGGCCTCGCGGAGCGCAGGGTGAGCAGCGTTTCGAGTTTTCCCGAGTTCATCCACACCATCACGCAGAAACACAGATGCATTTAGTAATTCTTGAGCGGCTCCCTCAACCCACTCAGAACGTTGTTGGGAAGGAATATGAGGAGGTGGGATTAGTATGTACATAGAGGGTGTAATGTTGATAGCGGTTTTCTTCAGGTCCGAGCGCCAAGTTGATAGATCTTCAAACAGCTGGAATAACAGCGCGTCAGATATCAGAAGCGTGACAACAGATACACGCACCAATTTGGCCATATCGGACTTGTGATCAGGCCACACAGCTGGTAATTGCCATGAGTAAGCTGTCTCGGGGGAGAATAAATGCGTACCGGCTTCGACTTGATTACCAGATTCAAGCCATTGCACGAGCGAAGATGTGAGGACCTCAGTGACGGAAACCGGCATGTCTTCAACTAAAGTTGGGAACGGATTCTCTATCGCGTGCTGTGCACGGCACTCTCCCTTCGCTTCCTCAAGGAACCTCCTCCAATGGGGACCATACCAACCGAGCTGTGTAGCCTTTGGTCCTTCGTCCGTTTCCTTGGATTTTGATGACTTGGCGGCTTTGGTCTTCGACTTGGAAGCTTTGGTCTTTGAGTTGGGAGCTTTGTTCTCGGTCTGACGCAAAAGATCGAGGATCGCAGGATCGGGCAGGCGAGGATGACCGTTTCACTTGTGGTGAAGTTGTAGTACATCATCTGCGGGCTTCAGGAAAAAAAATGCAGGAAAAAAAATGTTAGCAGACTCCGTAGAAGCAAATAATATATACCTTAATAGTAGAATCATTGTCGCTTGACCCCTCAGCCGCTAAAAGCTTGTCCGCCATGTTATCTTCTTCATCACGCAAGTGCTGAAACTCGAAATCGGTCGGAAGAGCGACGGCGACACGAGGTTGAGAAGGCATGACTTCCTGTGAAAAACCTGTCTCACAATCAGCAAAATCACAACGGCGAAAGTGAATTACTTACCGGGATGTGCGGTAAGGCGCCCATGGGCTGCTCCCCAGCCGATTTCCGAGCCCTGGTCTTCAAGATCCTCTTCATTATCGTTGTCTTCACTACTTCCATTGTTATCCTCATTGGACATCTCTGAACTTTCAGATACGGCGTCTTGCGATCTCAAATGTGCGTCACCAGCTGGCAGCAGAGCAGGGTCCAAGTTCTTGTAGAATTCAGCATCGGATCGATGCATGACCGACGTGGACTGCGAAGGCGGTATCGCTTGCGCTAAAGTGTCATTTCTCGGGGTAGCGATAGCAGCTGGAAGATGTTCAGGGGGATCCAAGGAGGCTGACAGAGCACGATGGTCCTTGGCGGCAGCTACAATGGGATTATAGAGTGCTTGTGAGTCACGCTCTACGCCGGGGGGGACAACGGATTGCGCAAAGCCAAAGCGAGCACCAGCTTCACGGTGAGAAAGGCTGGGTTGGATGTTCCATACCTCCGAGCTGGAGGTAGGAGCGAGAGCGGTTTTTGTCACCTTACCTTTCTTCACCGGTGGTTTAGAAGTCGCAGGATCTTCAACTGGTTCAGAGGCACTATACGGTGGAGGCGGCTTCTGCATGATATATTCAACCTTAGTACTGTCTATACTAAAGTGAAACAGACCTACCTTTGAGCGAATCTTGCGACCCTTATGGGGCAGTTCTGGAGCGAGAGGATTGGGAGGTATATTCGTGTCAAGGGAGGTAGAGCCCTTGGGTTGGGTAGCCCGCACCGGGGCATCCAAGAGAGCACTGATTTTCTCTAGTTGAGCGGCCCTACCTCCTGTGCCTGCGCCTTGACGTCCAGAACGTCGAACGGGGAGGGAGTCGTCCACAGCAATTGACTGCTGCGACGCCACGGGTGCCTCGACCCTAGCTCGCGATTTCTTTGCTGAAACTGTGTGCACGTCAGAGTCCACAGCTTTGCGCTTGGATCTCTTCTTCTTAGGGCTGGCACGAGGTTGAGTAGACGGCATGACTAGCCCAGGCTTAGAGCAGAAGCACTAGAGTAGCGATTAGCACAAAAAAAACTACTGCGAAACACATACCATCTTTAAAGGCTCGTAAAGTTCATCTCGGTATCGGATATCGCAAACACATGTTGAGAATATGACTCCAGCGTGGGTCCCATCTGCAGATGATGGTGTGGAAATCTCGGCAAGTCGGATATGGTGTCTTTTGGGGAATGAGTCGAGCGCTGCCTCAGGCTGCAGATATAGTATAGTTGTCGGCAAGTCGGATATGGTGTCTGTTGGGGAATATGAGTCGAGCGCTGCCTGCAGACATAGTATAGTCGTAAAAAGTCGGATATGGTGTCCTTTGGGGAATATGAGTCGAGCACTGCCTGCAGATATAGTATAGTCGTAAAAAATTCGCCAGTCCAACATCGAGGTAATGATGAGGCTGCATATGTAAGATGGGGATATCATGTGACTCATACGGTATGCGGGTATTGATATGTACAGGAACACGTAATTTGAAGTACCAATGCTAAACTCTATCCAGTCTTGCTCCTCTTCGGCTGAGGTACAATTTCCATCGTCCATCGGTGATCAACCACTCGCTTCTTTGGTGTCTCACCTACAGATTGTGACCCTTCCTCGTCATTGGTGGTAAATGAACTCGCCGCTGAGAGAATCACCCATTTGGAGACTAGGAGCTCAGGGGATGGCTCCTGCGGAAGTGTGCTGATGTGTCTCTCCAGCATCGCGATTACATCGTCAAAACGTAATCGTTTGGGTTCCTGGACTAATTCGTACCACTCTAACGCAAGGGGAAGGAGCGGTTCAAAGTAGGGATCAAATTGCTTCATGATTTCCGCCCGGTAGTGTTCGGATTGGTGAAAGAAACGTGTTTTGCTGTCCCCGCACTGTTGGTACGTTGACGCAGACCATTCAGTGGTTATCCATTTAACGGGGAGCTGAGAATGCTGTGGGAGAGTGGTCGGAAGAACACGCTTCATGCCGAGAGGGCCCCTGAATTCAATACAAATCCAGAAGAAAACATAAAACATCGACTCGAGGTCGTCCTTGTAGTCATGTTTGACCAAGGGGGCTGGGTATGGTATTGATCCTGAGGCTCGCGTGCCCATGTGCTCATCTGATGGATCCGGTGTGCTGAGGTAAAGCTGGAAGAGCAGTTTTCGTGACATGAAAGGTATCGTACCCTGATACCGTCAATCAATACTAATTTCTTAAAGATAGGGAAACACTTACCGTGCCACCGACACTGTATTTGTCGTTTCCAGAATCTCAACCGCAAACTCCCAATCGATTAGCGTTCCATGGGAACCATTTCCATCATCCTCGATCATTGCATTGTTCAAACTGCAGTCACGGTGAATAACTTTGCGTGTTTCTACTGCGTACTTCTGAACTAAAAATTGAGTCAGTCAGCGGAACATTCAGGTGATGTGACATCACTTACTTTTCACGATATCCCGTATCGCGGTCAATAACTCCGCATGTGAGCGAAATTGATGCAATGGTCGCGCGCGAGGCTTCAAGACCAGGCGAACATGAGTACGCGAGGTGCCTTTTATGCTGCGCGGAGTCTTGAAACGATACCTCCTTGTTTCATCGACCTCGTCAGGCTCACTCTCCACGAGCCAGTATTCGACAAGGTGAGGAACACCACGGACCCCCTCCATCTTCTTCAGCATAGAAATCTCGTTCAGGACCTGGGTTTTTCCCCCAAGAACCCAGTGATCCTTTATGATGTACTCCTCCCCGTCCTTCCTGGCTAGATAGCATACCGTGCCACGACCAACGAGGCCCTGGTTAGAGAATATAATCTCTAATATATCGTACATGTTTTCGTTGACGCGAATCTTGCCAATCGGCTCTGGAAGGGGTTGACAGAGAGGATCTTTAGGTACTTCTTCTACCGGGGGGACGATACTTGAATAGACGTTGGCTGCGGGTGTGGGCACCGTGTCCTCATCAGCGTTGTGGGGGGGGGGGGGGGGGGGGTGGGGGTGTTCTCCTCAGTTAGTAGGGCATCGTCCATCGTGTACGGGGGTGTACTTTCGGTGTCTTCGACCTGGGCACTCTCGATCTCCTTGGTCTGGCCGCTCTCGATCTCCTCGATCTGGCCGCTCTCGATCTCTTCAAATTGCGCGCTCTCGATTTCTTCAAATTGTGCGCTCTCGATCTCACGATTCTCACCAGGCCGCGCACTCTCGATCACCTTGGCCTTGTGCGAAGTCAAGTCTATGGGGCGGGAAGAGGGTCGAAGGGTATGTTTCAAGATATGGATTGTCGGGTCAAACCCAATACAACTGAGATTTCCGAAGACGATGCACGAAAAAATTTGGAGGTACTTGTCCGGCTCATCATCGATATTCGTGCAAGGACTCACAACACCGCCCGAGTGGTCGTATAGGTGTACGCGAAGTTCGCGATAGCCATTGGAAATGGAGACAAGTAACGCGAAGCGTCTCCACGGTTGGTGCTTGAAAAGAAGGTAGGCTTTGCTGTCCAGAGTTTTTCCAAGGGTCGATGAAGGTGTATAGGGAGTCGATGTGAGTTCGCATACGGCCTTGATCGTATCCCACCGAGCCTCTAGATCATCTAGTAAGGTGAGGTCGGGTTTGCGAGCGATTTTTTCACCGCGCACTGGTCGTGAGGAGTTTGACGCGCTCCAGACACGGTATAAGATATGCTTCTGAGCAAGTAGAGGCTGCTGCTTGACGAGGGCAAAGGTAAGGATGTTAAGGAACGACGCGAAAACTTGTTCCGTTGTCCATCACTTTGGCTGACGATCTGAGACATTATCGGTCTCTGAGGGGTCCTGCATCGGCTCGTCTGAGTCCTTGGGCGGGCTGACGGCCTCCGAATCAGAGGCCGACTTGCCATCTGTCCTGCCAGTTCCATCGACAAAAACCCAATCTCTCGGCTTCTCCTCCTTCCCCGGGTCTCCTTCCTGCTCGTTCTCATCCATAATATCTGTCTCTCCTCCCCACTCACCACTTTTCAGAGGAAGCTTGTCATTATGAGATGCTGGAAGTGGCCAATTCCACTGTTGGCTATCCACGTCATAGAGCGGTACGAGTGTTGTTTCGTTCTGGATGTGCTGAAAGGTGCCGATTCTGATATCGCGGTGGATTTTCTTCAGCGGAACAGCAAGATCCTTTGCTCTGGGCACTTTAGTCGTGCAAGACTTGAAGATGATTGATAGAAGATGGCCGAGCTGACTGCTAATGGTAGGTTGCTGTTCATGCAATATCAAGCGAGTAAGCTCCGAGTTGGTGAGTTTATTCATTGTCGGTACGTCGTGGACCTCTGGAGTCGATGCGAAGGACGCCAGCTTCATCCCGACGTCAACTGAACGAAAATGCTTGCCAAGTGGCATGTTGCTGCGCTGGTACTAGAGAAAATGTCCCACAACATGTACATAAATCCTAATCTAACTGCCTTTGATCGCTCCTTCATAGTACACGAAAATGGCCTTATCTCGCGTCAAATATTAGGCTGATAGGGCAAAGAAGACGTTTTTGTCCCAAAATTCGTTCAACCACAATTCCGCGGCATGCTCCATGCTGTTGTAGGCGGTGAGACGCGTATCTGCAGTAACACCAAAGCGAGGGATGAGATGGACAGGTGCCCTCAATTGAGATACTGGGATGACATCGCCCATCCGGCTTCCATTTGAGCGCTTTGCTCGCTTGAGCAAGTGAAGCTGCGTAGTTGGATCACGATCCTTCGAGATGTCGAAACGTTGAACATAGGTGAGGAAACGGTCCTTCCATGACCATGGTATACCACTCTTGCCAATGGGTCGCATGATAAGTCTAATCTGTGCGACCACGTGACCTGTAAAAGGTAATGTAAGTTAAGGAGTATCGAAACACAAGACAAAGAGCGCACCTGAAAGATTACTGCTAGGCCATGAATGGCTTGCATTGGTCTCAACGATAACCGCATCATAGCGACCTAAAATCCAGGGGTCACTGGGTGGAGCACAATTGAGCATCTGACTCGGTCTAACGGTGCGATTGTCGTGCGAGTCTGTTTCTTGCAAGCGGATTTTGAACCAGACTTGAAGTTTGTCGAACGGAAGGACAGCGGTAGGCCCAGCTCTTCTAGGACCACCAATTGCATGAACATGCTTATGTCCATAAGTCGCCTCACGCTGGAGGAAATCAGCGATAGCGGGTCGTAGATCTGGTAGACCAAATTTGACGGCGACTTCGTCAACAGTGATGTTTTGAATGGAGGGCTTGTATGCAAGATGAAAGGCAGAGCACTTGACAATGAACGAGCGAAGAGGTACGGGCACTGAACCCACCTCTCGGCGCTGGAGTGCATTAGCAATCGCAAAGTAGTTCGTGATTTGACGTGGGTCTTGTGTCACGTTGATGGGAATATGTTGCGCGTCAACATCGGCATCACCATCTTCATCGTCCGAATCCAAGTCCTCCAGCTCCTGAGTACCCCGCTCGTGATCTAAAAGGCTAGTGGCGAGCTCAAAACGACGGCATTTTTCGGCACGGTCAAGGTGTCGACAAATCTGTGTGTCGTAGTTAATGTTGTTGCTCATTCTTGCGGGGTCTTTTATCTCGGTGATGTGAGCGTGTTCAGTGATGTCGGCAGACCACTGTCCTACGGCGCCAGAGTTGCGAATGCTGGGAGCGATGCTTTGCATTAGCTCAAGCTTGGGGATGTACCAGTTGGTAATGGGTTTATTGCCCTTCCCCCGGCGAGCCCCAGCAGTAATGATCGCATCCTTTTTTGCGTGAAACTCATCCAATGAACGTAAAATTCGCCCGAGATCTTCTTCGTCAACACGCGGCAACTGTACAAGATATCGGAACTGCATCAATGCGCGTACAGCGGCGATAACACCAGCAGGTGCTGCATCCGCGCTGACGGCAATAATGTACCTTTGGACGTCTCGTTGACAGCGACCAGTGACTTGCTTTAACTTGGAGATGCCACTGTGAAATTGCCGATAACCGGTGATGGGTTGTAAGACTGAGAAACGGAAATCTATCTCAGAGTCTCCAACAGCGGAAATGAGCCATTTGGCGTCATGATCCCAGAACTGCTTATGGATATGGTGGAGTAATTCCGGTGTAAAAAAATGAGAGGGCTCCGATAGTGCCCAGTCCCGCCAGAATGGTAGGTCGACGCCGTTCAGTCGGAATTTCTGTGCTTCACGGAAAAATGTCACGATATCGTCGGGATCAGCGCGCGCACGCACAACAGCAAGCTGCGCGAGAGTGGTCGATTTCGTGCGGGGTTCATGACGGAAGGCATCCCCGAACTGCTTGTACATTGCCATGGTCACTGGCGATGTTTTTCCGCCGACGCCTGCGAGCATCATGGCTTCTGGGGTGTCCGCAATATAGCTGACGAGAGGGGTGAAGCAGTAATGATTGTTTCCCATAGGATCCGATAACATGATGCCATGTTGAGTAGCCTGCTTCAATGGTTCGAGAACAACGTCAAGGCATTGATGTATAAGACGGTCCTCCAATACACCCTTCATTCGCTTGTTCTTGTGAACAAACTTCGGAACTGGTAGTAGGGCGGTGAGGACGAAAGAATTAGTCGATGATTTTAGACGTGTGTTCGTATGAATATTGGCGAGGCTAATGAGGAGCGGATGGGCCACACGATCCCCCGTTAACGCAGTTATGTTCGTCTTGTCAGAGGAGAGAATGGTGCCGAGGAGAGTCGCGCCCTTGGGTATTGCTGACTTTAAGGATACATGAGCCCCAGACGTAAAGATTTAACTATTTACGCACCTGCATGTCCCAAGCATCGTTTCCTGTCATCCACTCAGTATATACGCGACACAGCTTCTCGGCAGTGGTGTACACCTTGCGAGGCGTGAGGTCAATATGACCGTGAAATAATGGATGATTGAATATGCTGGCAATGCATTCGATAGGGTCGCGCCAGTACAGAATTACGGGTGACTTTGTAGGATGTAATGTAGGAATGACTTGAGACTTCCAGCGTGGACCGCTGGGTAGCGTCTCGGCCCGACCCCGTAATTCTTTCGCAGAGCGAAATGACAATGGTAAGTCCTTAATCTAAAAAATTCAGGAAGGGATACCAGTGAGCTTGACGTCCAGACACTCACCATTTCAAGCGATAGAAAAGAATCAATCTTCGCCATGCTCAGGCCTGAGCGTAACAGCCATGCAGCAACTTTCCAATCTCTCCGACAGCTAAACGGATAGTATAGGTTCGTTTTCCGATGCACGCTATTCTGGTCCGAGTCGAACAGGCCCAAAAATGTGTAGCCGTCCTGATAGGCCAGAGGAGGGTCTGGAAAGTAGTCAGTTACTTCCCCGCTTCCCCCGTGTACTCTCGCGATATCCTCTTCTTCACCCCCAAAATTACCGAAGTCGTAGAAATTTTCCTCCAAGTCGTTTCTAAATACTGCTTCGCTGGCATGGTGAGGTTCAACGTCTGAGTCCGAGTTCGAGTCGTCCACTGAGCCCATTTCATGATCTTCGCTGGGTGTGGTAAAATTGATCAGATCGTCTAACCAGGTATTGCACCCAGAGCGAGGCTGGCTCATATGACGAGCGACAGATGTATGATTTTCGAAAACTTTCCCGCACGAGGGGCAACGTGAATTTGAATGAGGCATAAAGTCCTGGGATATTAATATGTCAGTTTGATTGCGGCATTTTCCGACAACTGACTCTAACCCACGCGTCGACGATGACTATCACTGCTACTAGTCTACGCACTCTATCAGCAAAAGCATCAGGCTTATCAGATGAACTCCTCGATCCACATCGTCGACATCGTGATCCACAATCTGGGATGCGTGGATCGGACCTACACGAAGTTCTCGAAGCCATCAGTTCCATGGTAAAGTCCAATGCATTCCCTATTTTCTTGAAGGCGCCTGAAATTCCATTAGTCCATGCAGGATACAACTAACTCAGAAGCAAACCTTATAATGGACCTTGTACGAGCTAAGCGCGAAGTTTTTCGCGCACAGAAGGCACTAGCAGAGTGTATACTACAGGAAAACGAAGTGTTGTCCAGCTTGCTCAGATTTCGAGTAGAAACTGCGGAGACGACGCTAGACGACGCAGACATGGGCCTGGGGTGCATGAGACTCATTTTCAAAAAGCACGGCTGGTCCCATTGTCACGGAAATCATCTACCCGCCGGTAAGTTCGCAATCAGTTCGAGACGATGCGTTGTCCTGATGAGGTGCAGGAAATTCATCATCTGCTACTAGTACTACAGTTGAAGCCACTGGGGGGCGCCTCCTCACGGTCCAGCTTGATTGACCGGCCGATTTATCTCTGAGTTGCTTCACGTTTTCCATACTACCCATGTTATTATGATGTGTCTCGCGCCTGGCAGTACTACTATGCTTACATGAATTCTCTGGTACATACTAGTATACTACATGTAGATGCTCATATGTTCGAATACTTATGTTCGATGTTATCTGTATCACGAACTTCTGAATGTTTGAGCCGAAGTGCATTAAATTAACACTAGTACTACTAGTAATAAGTACTACTACTTTACTATGACTTTCAAATGCAACTTTGAGGCCTGTGAACCATGGAGAACTGTGGGTGATTGTAGTGAATGTATACCTTGCAGCCGCTGTTTGCTGTGATCCTGGCGGAACTGTGAGTGAATGTAGCGAATGTATATCTTGCAGCCACTGTTTGCTGTGATCCTGGCGGAACTGTGAGGTCTGCGGCTGGCTGTCGTGAGAACATAAATTTCATGCTTTCTGTGGAGAAAGTTGTGGTTTGCAGATGTGTGTCGGCGAGAATGGGATTATAACTGACTGTTTGTTTGAAGTTCGTTGCAGCCTGAGACTGCGGGTTGACATGCCTATTGGGAGGTGCGTCATGTCAATCTCATTCTTGGGCAACACTTTAATGCAGTGCCTTCAGCGAGCCTCTCTCAATTATAATTCTGCTGGTCATTCACCATCCTTCAGCCGTACCTACAGTACACGTGTCACCCTACGAGGCCCTTCTTAACGCAGTGAAAATGTGTGTAGCACAAATGTGCAACGAAACGACCGATAGGGCACTAGTAAGCAGTTTGGGGCAGGTACACTCCATCACGATAATCATTCTATTGTACAGGTTGTCCGCGCGGCGATACCGTTGTTGGTTCGTAAGTCGGTACATTAAAACCGTAAAGTACTAACGCGGCCCTCTGAGTCCCAACAGGTATTTGGTCTCCCTCATCTCTAACTCAAACAAGCGACGCTCTCGCGCAATCCACAGTACCATCATCGCGCGGACTTCTTCTTCCCAGAGTGGCGGCCGCGGCAATGGTGCAAATGGCCGTTCGGGGTGATAGAGATGTTGACGTACGCGCGCATGCGCGATCGTCCATGTCATATAAAGGATTTCCTACAAATCAGTAAATTGATTATTGAATGTATATCCTTTTTACTCACCAATTGCTCATCTGATATGGTAAATGATATATCGCGAGGGTTCGGTAAGCGATTCAAACGCTGACGAGTCGTGATTTGTTGGTGCGTACGCCATGATGAGGCTAAATGCCTACCTGATAGTTGCGATCCTGTAATGGGAGGTTAGCGCGGATAAACTTTGATCAGTTGACAATAGACCTGGACAACATTGCGGCCTCCTTCTCCGTTTCTGTCTCCATCCACTCTGTCTCTGAGTCCGTTTAAGTAGTTTTGCATCTTTAAGGTAGATAAATTTCAGTTTATGAAGACACGTCAGGTATGAACACTCACTACTGAGTGTTTGTGACGTTCAAAGATAATCGATGATGTCCAATCGCTGATAATTATTTGCGTGATACGTCACAACTGTGACTTTGCATGGCATCGTCGGTTTCCCATGTGACTGTGACATAACTTGAATTCATCTCATATCTACACCGCGGCGGCATGGGAGACTGCGACTAACTTACAGTCATTGCTAGAGAATTTCCAAACATGTAAGCAATGTTACGCGTACTCTATATTCAAGCCCTCCATGCTGAAACATTGGCAGCCAAAGAACACGAACTTTCACAAGCTGTGAAGGGCTACAGATCTCAACTCGATGATGTCACCATGTCATAGTTGTGTTACTTTGTTGGTCGACGGTCATTCATCTGCATATCCCAGTCATCAGGCAACAAATTTCGAACTTCGTTCCGACTGGAAACGAGCACCAACTTCCTGCGAGCATGAAATTTCGGGTTGCATCACATTGCTCTCAGCCTGAGGACGGCAAACCTAACTTGAACGCCCTGGATGGCGAGGGGCTCACGCACGCAGTGGCGCCGACTCTTATTGTTGTGGAGGTTTCAGGTAAGTCCCTTATGTTTTAATAAACTTTCTTGTGATCTTCATTAATTTTTCAGATATTTGCTTGACTCGGCTGCCGAAAATTGGAATGGTTGCATTCGATGATCGATTTTTTGTCCAGTTGGTGGTCGAGGATATAGTGGAGACTCAGACGACCAGCTCACAAGCTCAGCAGGATGGCTCGATATTCTGGGATCAGAAACACGTGTTGTAAGTCAGCCTTGACATCCACCCACCATCGTCATTGACCCGTTGGTAGTGCGGTGTTTTTTTGACTAGACAAAAGCATGCATATGGTCACGCCATGCCATAAGAATGATCATGGAGGTGTGATTCATCACCTTCACCACCTTCACCGCTCTTCACTGGCTGTCATGAAAGCTGCATGGAGCTTCGTTGGGGATTACATTGAATTAGATTGGCTCTAGCGTACTTGCCCCTTGGAAGGTGGAGTGGCCCTCGTGGAGTGACTTCACGACGCAGCTAATTGAATTTGTTTCCAGTCTAGCGGGTTAACGGATATACGCCGGATATATGCACCACGGCTGTGCAGATCCATCATATCGATGGCGTTGTTACTGCCAAAGTCGCTCGGTTATGTATGCTGCAGTGGGACGAGCTGATCCTGTCATCCTAGCTCACGATCTCGTGGGGATCTAAGGGAGCCCAATGATATTTTGCAATACCACGAAATGACACCATGATGTGCAAATGGCACACACTGATATCCGAGTCCCGGGATCTTCCTCAAGAGCCGTGGTGATAGTGACCATATGGGCTGGTGAAATTCAGGTTGCTACAGGCTAGTCCTAACATGTTACGAGCTCTTTCGCACCATATTTTGTGCGGTGTATGCTGCAACAAAATATCTGACTTATCAGCTCAGCCACTTGGCTAGTGCATTATTCCGTAAACTCGCTGCAGTGCTGCTGCATTGTAAATCCCGACTTCGAAGTATATAAGCCATATAAGCCCGGACGTCCAAGGAGATCCGTACTCAATATCCTAGACACCTTTTCCTACACTTGTTCACTTTTAGAATTTAGACATCTCGCAATGGTACCTATCGCAGTCCCCCCACCAATACTCTCCACAACGTCATCGCTCAAGCTGTCGCCCGGTATCCGTCGCACGAGCTCGGATTCATAACCTCCTCTGCACATGACTCCTCTATTCAGACGAAGACCTTCACCGCGTTTAACCAATATGTTCGCAACCTTGCACGCGTCATGCTAGAGTGGGGAAAACCCACAGGTTCAGTAGTCGTCGTGTACCTGACGGAGCACGAAGACAACATGGCTGCTGTCTGGGCTTTCTCACGAGAAGGTGTTGCATAGCATTGTAATTCACCACATAAATAAGGCAAACGACAATGCACGAAATAGTTGGACTAAGTATACTACCACCCCTCATTGGCTGCAAGGGAGGAATGTCACGGCTTTGTGGCAAAGTCTAATGGTATTTGAGATCTGCTGATAAGTGCCAAAGGCGCCTGCCACGAGAAAGTCTTAAATACTGCTGTAACTCAAAAAATGAGATCAGGCAAGATGACAAACCTTAAAACGATTGACATGAGTGTGCTACCACCCCTCATCGGCTGCAAGGGAGGAATGTCACATCTTTGTGGCAAAGTCTAATGGTATTTGAGATCTGCTGATAAGTGTCAGAGGCGCCTGCCACGAGAAAGTCTTGAATACTGCTGTAACTCAAAAATGAGATCAGGCAAGATGACAAACCTTAAAACGATTGACATGAGTGTGCTACCACCCCTCATCGGCTGCAAGGGAGGAATGTCATACCATTGTCATGGATCATTCATGTTAAGCTGGATTTGCGGGCATCCATGGGTATGTATGTACAACTCAGATTGCTCACAGTATAAAAACTAATATTTGGTGAGAGCAGAATTAAATCGTGCTATACTTCCCACGGCTACGATATCACGGACCCATCAATTCACTGATGCCTGTTTCCAATTCGTCTACCACACCTGCTATTGGTGATACCACCGCAGCTACAAATTCCAGTTCCTCACGCCCTGACGCGACAATAAGGCAGGCTGGGTGCTGGACTCGCTTCTGGCTCTTCATTGGTTGTTTGTCTCCTGAGTACACGGATGGTCGTCATTAAACTACAATTTCATCGTTCCGATGATTTCTCGTGTGCCTCTACCCAACTATACGCCTTTCCACTATGTTTCAGACTGTCCTTTTTGATACCACACACCTCCTCACCTCCGTCTGCAATATACAATACGCAGAGGCTACGTGTTTCATGTGTCTTGGCTTCAAGCCTGACAAGAAGCCGAATACAGAAGAATTCAAGCATCAAAAGCGGAGGGTAGCATTACAGATGAGAAGATGGAGGTGAAGCCCAAAGAGGCATTCAGCCGTCTTCCAACGGATCGACAATGTGTGGGAAATATGCTTGGATCCAGGTAGCGAATGGTTTACAATGTTTAGGTAGGAGGTCGCGAGATTTCTTAGGAGGAATTGTACGCAGTTGAAACCAAGCCATTCGCCTTGCATCTTTGGACACTATGCATGAATACGCACAGGCACGACTGTAATGCTAGCTTATCCCCCATCCAACAGCAACAGGAACTGCGGAGCGACAGATGATTCTGGGCGCTTCAACTGCACAGTCAATGCTGTATATAAGCTGTGAACACGAGGATACGGCATGTCAAACGTACTCTCTGACTTGACCAGAACGCCCATTATCCCCTACTATCCGTCCGTCGCTATCGTCCTTGGTAAGTGATGAATTTGGAATTTGATGGGCGAAAGCTGAGACAATGCTGCACTCGGTAGTTAAAATTCTGGAATGTCTTCGCCCGCCACTAAAACGAAAGAGATATCAGCAATACCGCCTCGCCAGAAATTTAAAGGACACACCGATTGGATCTACGGTGTCGTACACCTGCCTGACGGACAGCGGATGATTACTTGTTCAGAAGATGGCTCGCTGCGGGTATGGAACTTGGAGAGCGGAAAACAGATAGGGGAGAACTGGCGGGACGGAGGCAGTGGAGTGATCAGTATAACGTTGTCCCCAGATGGGAAGAAAGTGGTTAGTGGGAGTAGGGACGGTGGAGTGAGGTTGTGGGACATCGACACAGGCAAGGTCATCGCAAAATGGACGGGACACACAGAGGCAGCGTGGTCTGTTTGTTGGAGTCGAGATGATCACCGAGTAGTGAGCGGATCTTTGGATGGGACTGTAAGGCAGTGGGATGTGGAGAGCGGAGAGACGATCCTGGCACCCGGGCCAATCAAGACAGGGCATATAGAAGTGTACACAGCCATCTATTCGCCAGACACCACCATGATTGCGACTGGTGGACGTGATACGCCCTGGGATGAAAATGAAACCGAGTTCTCAATTAAAATCTGGGATGCGAAGACAGGCGAGCTTGTCGCAACTCTCAAAGGACACACAGATTTGGTGCGGTGCCTGGCTTGGACCCCGGACGGTAAAACGCTCATCTCCGGGTCATGGGATCACTCAACTCGGACATGGAATACAAAATCATGGAAGCAGACCGCAGTTCTGGATGGGCACACTTCTGCTGTCTATGGCGTTGCAATATCCCCGAATGGCCGCATCCTCGCAAGCGCATCACACGACAAGACAGCGCGATTGTGGAACCTCGACAACGGCCAACCTATCAGTTCTCCACTCCAACATGCAAATCCAGTTCTCTGTGTCTCATTTTCTGCCGATGGAAAACTACTAGCAACTGGCTCCTTGGATAGGAACGCGTACACATGGGATATTGCTACCATTGTCAGAGAAGCTGGTCTCGACGAACTTCTGTTAGATCCACAGGTGAGTCAACATACCTCGTTTTATTTCATTCTCACAACTGAACGCGCTCTGCCAGGCCAACAAGTCGGCACTCCGTGTACGTGACACTTTCTAAAAAGATCTCATTGCATTCAAACATATACACTCTAGGAACATGCTACACGACATCCGGCCCAACGACGTCAGCCTGCCCGTCGGGTACCCCAAGGTTTTTTTGATGACCCACAAGAACATTCTCAGGTATGTCATGACTATCACTTCGATGTGTTTCCTGACTTAGTGTGCTCAGATCTCTCCACGAAGCCACCTCCACTCCTCAGCACCCCAAGGAAGCACACTTGGCCGCTTATTCAACCGCAGCCCCTCCGATCCCCATGATACATCACTGTCCTCTCCTCTCGACTGGGCTCGACACCTTTTGAAAACACGCAGACGAAATGGTGGAGGAACCGATTTACATGGGCCCAACCCAGCAGTTCTTGAGGTCCCGCATGCACCGGGACAACGTGTATGTTTTTTCTCGTTCTCAGATGTTCGACTCGACCTGACACTATGCAGAGGAATGCTTGTGCGAGGGAAAAACGGAAAAAGAAAACATTACACACTACTTCTGGCACCCCGGGGCCTCCCAAGCCTAATGCCATGCAATCCAGTGGTGCGACTCAAAACCAACCATCTTCGGAACTACAGGCAGCTGTCTCCAATTCGTCTACCACACCTACTATTGGTGATACCACCGCAGCTACAACTTCAACTTCCTCACGCCCTGATGTGATGCTCAGACAGGCTGGATGCTGGACTCGCCTCTGGCTCTTTATCTGTTGTACGTCTCCAGAGTATATCGATGGTCATCATTAATCTACGTTGTCATCGTCCCGATGATTTCCCGTTTGCCTATACCCGATTACACGCCTTTCTACTATGTTTGGGACCATCCTTTTTTATACCACACGCCTCCTCACCTCCATCTGCAATATACAATACGCAAAGGCTACGTGTTTCATGTTTCTTTGCTTGTCGATCCGACTTACCATGTACTACCTATACACCAAGTATCGGCTGCATCGATACAACCACTCTGATAAACATTCCTTGACGTATCTGCCATGCTCAAGGAGGAGGTTGCAGTGGATGAATAATTTCTGCGTGCTTCCTTCGTGCGCCAAATCTTTATCTGTGCCACAAGAGTAACCTCCAGCCTTTCATGTTTACTTTTCACCAGACACAACGCAGTTGAAACTGGTATCACGAATTGAATCTCTTTCGGCTTAAACGAAACAGCTCGCTATATGAGATCGTTCCGGGATAACGCGATCTGCTGATGTGCGTCGTTGTGGTCTCTAAGTCTATGATACAGCTGGTCGAAAACGAGGTTGAAATCGAAAGAAAGCCTTGGGTTACAACGGCCACCCGGACCGGACGGGCACACGAATTGCTTAGTGACTCCGAGTCAGAATCCGCTTGCTACAGTCTCACATATGCGCTTTGGTAGGTTCGGATTCACGTACCGTTTCATACCCTCCAAAACGTATATTCGCGTCATGACACCAAACTACGAATCCTGGTCAAAAGATGAACTGATCACGCGTCTCAGAGAGCTGGACACAAAAAAGCACTCAAAGTCAACCCACTCCCCGACATCCAAAAAACCGTTTCATTTCTCATCCCACCCGAAGCGCAAGATCGCCATCAAGTTCTGTTATTCGGGATGGGAGTATAATGGTCTGGCATATCAAAACGGTCCGACGCCTCTTCCAACGGTTGAAGATGTGTTGTTCAAAGCCTTTGTGAAGGCAAGGCTCGTCGATGAAACTGGCGGCTTGGATGGTTGTGGATGGGAGAAATGTGGGAGGACAGATCGGGGAGTGAGCGCTGCTGGTCAGGTGGTTTCGTTATGGGTTCGAAGTGCTCTCCCAACCGAAACTCCATCACGTAGTCCATCATCACCATCATCATCCGAGGAGGACTCATCAACGGAGGACATTCCACAAAACACCTCACTCCAGCCTTCCACCAAACTCGAGCTCCGCTACGTATCCATCCTCAACCGCGTCCTCCCTCCAACAATACGCGTCCTAGCCTGGTCTCCCATCTCCCCCGATTTCTCCGCCCGCTTCAACTGCAAACACAGACACTACAAATACTTCTTCACCTCTCACGGACTCGACACATCCCTCATGCAATCAGCCGCAAACCGTCTCGTCGGCGAACACGACTTCCGCAATCTGTGCAAGCTAGACCCAGGAAAACAAATCACCAACTTCCACCGCTGCGTCATGCGCGCACAGATCAGTCCCGTCTCTCCAGATTCCGATGGCGACAACCGCGTATACGTCTTCGATCTCGTAGGATCAGCTTTTCTATACCATCAAGTCCGACATATAATGGCCGTCCTTTTCCTAGTCGGAACAGGACTAGAACATCCATCCATAGTCTCAGCTCTCGTAAACGTTTCACCCCAAGAATCAGCATCAGATACACTACCCGACACCCAATTGCCTTTAGTGGATCGCAAACCCGAGTATCAGATGGCAGACGCCCTCCCTCTCATGCTCTGGGATTGTGCATACGCAGACTCAGATGTCGCATGGCAAACAGACGACGACGGTACAGAGAGTGGTACAGGCTCAGACCTATATCACCAGCTCCATTCCATCCATCAACGCTCCCTCATCCATACAGTCTTAGACGGGCACTTCCTCGCCGCTACCGCGCAATATCATTCTCCTCCACCTCAATTTTTCCCCTTCAGCCAGACGGGGCTGACGCCTCACACGCTTCCTCGTTCGAACTTGAACCGAGATCCGGTTCTTGGTGTCCCACTGGGTGCAGGGACGTACAAGCGCGGTGCGAAGTACGTGCCGTTGTTGGAGAGGAAGAGACTTGACCACGTCGATGTGGCCAACGAGCGATGGCGAATAGGCAGGGGGAGCAAGTATAGCAAGCAGAAGCAAGATGAGACGCTTGATGACGGGATTGAATGAGCAGACGCTCGTGTATGTCGTTGTAGATGTGATTGCCGTTGGATAGGCAGATTGATTACATAGACATGATCGTCATCGCGTACAATTCTATCGCTCACACAAGTAGCTCCAAGTGAAAGCGTGAAAGTGTGAATTAGTCAAGTCCAATCTGCGATACTACAATGGAGAAGTAGAAGAATATATCAGATCATGCGAACGTCCATCACAGACGTCCAATCCAATCCAGAATATCCAACAGGCGCAATGCTCTACGAGCTACAGCTGTGGCCTGTGCATCTAGAGGTATATTTCCTTGACATCTAAGAGCGCGGACCATTGTTGAGGTAAACATAGGCGTCCTCTGTCGGCGGGTTCGCTTTGAAGAGCCTGCCTAGACGTTCATCTTATGAAGAGCTTTAACATCTGACACCGATGAAGAGAAACAGAGTTATACTCACAGACAGGATCATTATCAACATGCTTGAAATGCTTCAACTCCCACGTCGTGCCACCCGCAGCTTCATCACGTCTTCTCTGCCGTTGCTCGTTCTGTTTCGAGACAATCAACAAGAAAAACAAGAAAATCACATAAATAACCTCTCGAAAACATACCTCGATCTTGCCCTTGAACGTCGCAGCAGTCTCGAAATCGCCCTCTCTGATACCCTTGGCAACACCATGCCAAAGCTTCCGGCTTTCAAACTCGCTTTGATCTTCAACAGGAGCGACTGTGATCTCCTCCTTGGGCGACGTGACATCATGGAACGCCGCACCACTATGCGAATCTTTAGATGTGGTATGCCATGTCCCCTCAATCACGTGGGGAGACGTATGAATGTGCGCAGGCGGGGTGAGTGTTGCTTTGAACGTGTGCGATTTCCCCGAGAAATAGCCTTTGCCCTTGTATTCGATCTAGTGGATGCTTCAGAATGAGATGCCATACGATGGGAAGTGTGTGCGCTTACCGTAGACAGCCAGCCGGCGGAGCTTTGGATGTAACTTGTTTCCGCAAGTTCGATATATGGGGAGCCATACCAGAGCCCGTCGATGCGAAGACGAGGAAGGGTGATCAGATACTCCTCAGTCTCCCCAGACGGAAGCGTTACGCTGAGAACTGCATGCCCAACCTGCTTGACGATAATACTTCCCCCTAAACGTACATCAGGAATGGGAGATATGACACATGAAAGAAAACATACCGCTGAAACTCGTCTTTTGCGCATTGTGTCCTGTCAGGATAACACCTTTTTCAAGGTTTTCTATGCGATAAGCTGTGATGGGCGGATGGTGGGAGACTTGTTCTACGACCAGGGTGGTCTTGCCTCCACGAGTTGCAGTCGCTGGCCAATACCCATAGAAGAGTCTAGGAGAGATCAGCAGAAGCTAGATCAGCAAATAGTCTCGCTTACTCTCCGAGTACAGGATTCAAGGGCCTGCATTGGTAGATTAGCTTTATATCAGGAAGTGCATACAAACACATACTTCTTCTCAGAGCCCATAGATTCATTTCGGGAGGTGTACTGCCCTTTAAGTGTACTCTGGAAACAAATTAAACAGGATATAGAGGAACTATCGCGCTTCTCCGCTCACGATGAACCATTTCAACACAGCCAACGCTCGGGCCTGCTCCGTCTTCCCATCGGCAATCGCAGCAAACAACTCGGGTCGTTCACACCAATAAGCTGAACATCACAGTCAGATCGATATATTCCGCTCAATCTAAGATCGCACCTGGGAACTCGGTGAGGGATGTAGGCGACAATATAAACGGAGGAGCAGTCATGGCCGACAGATCACCCGTAAAGCCAGCCAGCCTGAGGGGCATCACATTGTTGATCAAGACTTGAAGGACGAAACAAGGATGATGGTCACTCACGACTTCAAAAAGGACGTCCAGCTGCTCTTTTGTGCTGCAGGTACAGCCTGGGTAGATCATAGATCATAAGATGCGAGACATACAGCATTTGGAATGTTTCAGGTTAGATTTACAGTGACTCTTTGATGGACTTGCCTCGCCAGCTTGTTCCGACATGCTTGATATTGATAAGTGATTGGTAGCTGACGCTGAGATGTGATGGAAGTAAGATGCAGGGTCGCTGTACAGTGTCACAGCTTTAAGGCTGCTCAATGCTCCACTTACTGCGCCTGTCACGTGATCAAATGTCAGACCGTAGGTCCGATTCAAACAACAAGGTCGACGTAGAACAAATATGACAGACTCGTACTTAAAACGATGGCAAAGATGCAGCAGCTAGTAAAACAGAGAGTACGTAACAGGAGTATAACGGATGGGTGAGGATGCAGGGGGGATGAACTAATCAAAGGCCTCCTCTGCACTCTTACGTACCAGACGTCGTACCTTCTTCTTGTAAGCTACAGTGACGTGGTTAGCATGAAGACATTCAACTAATTGGACGTCACGGACCAGCATTGTCCGTGCGAATTTCTTTGGCTGCGTCCACGTTGGCTGGGCTGTCCGTGTTTGGGGTCTCGGAGGACAGTAGCGATATGACGCTTACAAGCTACAGTGGAGAGTCAAATCGGCTAAAAGGAAAGGTCTCCGTGAATGTCATACAATTGTTTCCACCGTGTGGACAGGCATCCATCGTTCACCGGCATCCTCGTAGCCGTACTGATCGTCACCCGGAGCATGCTGTAAAGATGGATGAGTTCTGATTGATTGAGATGACAAAGAATACGGACCAAGATGGAGATGCAAACTACACCATCGGCATAAACTGTATTCAGATAGGCTCAGATCACACGAAGATTATAGTGCACCCGTGGCTTACTGTTGGGGTGCCACATGGGGGTAATGAAGCGCATCTTTGGGGGTTGAAGAGGGTACTCTGTAGGGAAAGACAATCGAGCCTTGAAAAACCCTCCTTCACTAGATCGCGCATGGTGATGAATAAGAGTTATAGATGAAGAGGGGTGTGGCGCGTACTAAAGGGTGTCCGGAGGCCTGTCGGATCTCGTGAGTGTGATGGATGGGCTTTGAGAACAGTCAGACTAACCCGATGATCATGACCTCCCATTCATAAAGATTGTTGTCATCGACAAGTCCTTTGCCCGGAAGTCTATCAGGAATCGGTTGAAGATCAAAGTTAGGGAGAAAGGCTGCCCGCACCTGCAGAGAACCCCTCCACTGGGTGCTTCGTGAGCTCAGTGAGCTGCCTACGGAGGAGGAGAGTGTTCGATGGCTGTGGTGTGGATGGTTTGGACATCAAATTGAGAATATGATTGAGGATTTGGCAAAACTACAGAGCTCGAGAGGGAAAGATTGAAAGATGAGTGTGATTCAAGAATGCACAATGGCATCACGGCGTGGGAAGATAGTCATTTGACACACCGACAACAATTATTTCTTATTTCTTTGTATCCTTGCTATAAGACACGCAGTCGATCCGCGCCGCTCGTACTCAACGTTATGGATACCGAAGCTCAAGGGATTCATTTCTTGACGGGCCAAATAATTAAACATTTCTTATTTCAAATTCGTCGCTCGCATTATCAAACTTACCCCAGCACGAGCACCTTCAAGCGTGAAATGCGCGCAATGCCCCAGGTGAAATTCACGGGGACCTCAACATCAAAAACGAATAGGCTGCAAGAGACGCCGCGGAGGTGATGTCACTGAAACTAGACTCAAAAGTAGGAAGAATTTGAATGATGTGCAATCCGTGGGAGAAGTGTTTTGGGATTTGAAGAAGAATTGCCAGTTATTGTCTGAGATGCTGGATGGTGGGACCAAAGCGCCAATACGTGAGCATAGTTCCAGCCCCGACGAAGGCCGAATTCCTTGGTCCGAGTGGGTATCGCCGCAGTCCTGCTCGGCGTACGTACAACGGATGTTCGAAGGCCGGGTGAAGAAAATTGATGAACGTTCTTTCAAATGCAGGGCAGTCAAAGTTACGCCGATGTCACGGAACCGAGAGCGCCGCATTGTACGCGGCGGCAAGCTGTGAAGACCAAGCATGTAAGTAGTAGGTAATTACGGAAAATGAACTAGACGCCCAGCATATACGCACCCAAGACGGGCGAAAAATAAACGCGGACGATAAAGCCACGAATCAGGGATGGAAGAGTCAGGATATACGTAGTCCTCCATATGAAGCGGCCAAAATGAACGGCAGCGCACAGGAAAAAAGCTGCGGAGATTCCAGAAGCCAAATTGCATGGTCAATAGCATTAGGCGGCAGTGTGCGAGTGCCGGTGTGAGCGGGCATCCGAGTCAAGAGTGTTGGAGAAGGGGGCGACAAATTTAGCAAGGAATACAATCAGGGATGCAGCAAACGGGCGGTTGAAGTACGCCCGTGGGTTCGCTGGGGAAGAAGGGGAAGGCTGTGCGGCGGGGCCGATGCTAATAGAATGAGGCTAGAGGAATGACATATAGACGAAGGAGGCATGGAAGCGTCCGAGGTGGCAACCAACACCTCAGCGGAGGCAAGTTGATAGATAAAGTGGAAAATATTGGGACTCGGACAAGACTCGGAGTAAAAAGATTGTGAGGCACGTGCACTGTCACGGTAGCGCCCGCTACACCTTTAGAGTTCGACGACGAGTGGTTAAACTTTCGTTAGGCATGACTAGGACTAGTTGCCGGACGGTGGGTCAATCAGGAAGACAAATAATAAGTAGGTGACATACCCTTGATCCTGTGAGACCGTTCTCAACTTGAATCCATCCTTAGGGCGGCCACGCATGGCGAAGTCCAATATGTAATATTCTGGCGTGGTCTTGTTGGTCTGGCCGTTGCGAGGCAGAAGGGTGCCAGTAGGCTTATGATTGGCTTAAAGTTATAGATACTTCAAGTTGGGCCCGGGCCCCGAATGCACTCTTGGCAAAACGCTGCATCTTGCAACTTTTTTGGCGGATTCCCTCTAGATGCGGCCGCCATGGTACCAGAAGTTGCAGCGTCAACCTCATACGTGAACAGCTCAATCTGATAGTCACCCACCGTCGGTCCAATTACGCATGTTACACAATCCGCCGAGGGTCGCTCCACACGACTGCACAGCCATCACAGATTCCAGAGAGAATCAGTTTCGAACCTGGTGCAGATCAGTTCAGATCAGGTTGCGTTAAAAGAATTTCTGGATATCACAACCGAGTCCTTTCAGGTACATGCAGTGTTTCATGAAAGCTCTAACTTCATGAAAGCAGACCTCTCAGGCTGTTTCAAAGTGTGTATGTCACCACTGTGTGCGCTGTCAATCTCTTGTCAATCGGTTCACCTGCCAACGGTGCCGCGGTCTGTCGGACTCGAATAATTTACTGTAACTTGAACTGAGGCCTTGAATTTGCTTAAACTGATCAGCAGTTATCATCTTGCTCACAGCGCTAAAGTGGACCTTCTCTATAGAGATCTCTATTGACCAGGGACGGCCTTCGATTGGTGGAGCGGCGAAGCAATACCATCAAATTCTTGATTGCAACCCCATTACAACATCTCGACTCGGAAACACGCCTGCAGTTTGGCTTTTCCACAGTTTTCGACCGAGTCCTTTGCTTTGGTGTTCTCGGCCTTTTTGTCACGGGGAACTTTTCCAGTTTGCAGTCCTCAGGCCCCAATCAATCTGTCGAAGACTCGAAGTGACAGGCAAGCACGATGGACGGAAGTTCCGCGATAAACTACCCATTGCTCGCCCGGGAAGTCAATTATCATCTTGGTGAGTGCGACTAGTCACTGCAGTATCGTCTCACATTGCCATCGAACTTCTGATGTACAGTGGCGTCACTCGCACTTCAGCTGTGGGACATGGTGATTACTTCAAAGAGTGAGATGGAGCATATCTGGCCGTGCGTCTTTACAATTCAGTTCTACGTACACGGTGTCTGTAGGTATATGCTGATCCCCTTCTTCAGGAAACCTTGGAGCTCGGTTTTCAAGTGGTTGTACTTGTTCCTCCGATATTTCAGTCTTGCAATACAAATGTAAGCATTTTCCATACCTTGTCGTACCCACCGAAACGCTTTATGGCTGTGCAGATTTCACCAATTTGCCGTTCCTTACCTCAATAGTGGAAAAGCTTTGAAATCAAATTGTTTTGCATGGTTTGTCTATACTGCCCTCATTGCGCAGTTCCAGACAACCACTATCGAGTTCATCTTGGCTGTCCGAGGTATGCATTGTTCTGCTTTTAAATGCATGCAGTTAGTGACCTAGTCATATTCAGTGTATGCACTGTTCAATAGAAGTCGCCGCATCGCTATCATGTTGGGGTCGCTGATGACACTCGAGTATATAATTCTCGTGATCATTGTTGGCGGCTATTTCCATAGGATCCCCTCCATCCCGTATTGCATTCTATCAAAACCACCGAATCAGATAATTTATCACGCGCAAGTCTCAATTTTCTCATCCGATCTACTACTTTTGTGAACAGTACCTCCAGCATTGCAGTGGTGGCAACGCAAAGTACACTTCTGTGTCTTTCACTGATAAAACATCTACTGGCCAGACGCGCTGGCTGGGGCCGGGCACCGCTGGTCTCGCTTTTGATCAGGGACGGAACGGCCACGTATTTCATAATATGTGGTATGAGCTTTGCTTCTGACACCGCATTGCTATTCTGACGATGTCGTACACTGTAGTGATCTTCCTTTGTATCGGTTCATTTTGTCAACTCCGTGATGAGCGCACTGTAATCATGTTCTTGTGAGCCTTTTCCGCCGAGACCCGGAGACCAAACTTAACCTTATTGATTCGTGGTTAGTTGGCTAATCTCGGTCATATCATCATGCGTGAGTGTACATAGTCGCTTTCGAACATGACTTTACCTGAACGCGACTCTGAAGGGCTGTCGACTTATAGTCAATATGCAACGTCTGGCAGTTGATGAGAAAGTTGTACATCGCTCTCATATTACCTCAGAGATTGAGGTCGAATATCCGTCCAAGACATCGTTTCAATCAATATGATATCCTGTGCTATAGTAACAGTGCAACATCCCGGCCATGATTGTTGCAGAAACGCCCCTGCAGACCCAACACGTTCTAGCTTAAAATGATGGGTAAATTCTTCTCCTACTAGTGGGCGCAAAGAGATAACTTTCTCACAATCAATGACTGCGCTTACTCATGTCTCAGGGAGCCTTTAAGAACTCCTCAGGGTCTTTGGCTTTAAGATGTTTGCCATGGACGACTTTTTGGTAAGTGACATTCCACCACGCACACCCTAAGCCCTTGTTAGTTTGATTCTTCTTGGCCATCCGCCCATTCGATCATGTCCCAAGATGTCCTATCTTATGCTCGCGTTTTTAGACAAGCGAATAGTCACTGCTGTAAGCACTTTTATTTCCCTGGGACATGTCCGTCATCACCGGAACTGACTGTTTGCTCAGATTCTTCTCTTGCCTTTTTGATCTATGACTGGCTGTTAGGTTTAGAAAGCGAGGTCCAACACATCTGGATGTATGTATTGTCTCACTCGAGCTTTGGAAAATCACAATCAGCGTAATTCAGGCAGCCTCAAAAGCGAGTGTTCAGATGGCTTTACATCTACTTTCGGTACTTCAGTCTGCACCTATGATTCCCACATATCTCAATTAGTTAAGTGGCCTCACGGCACTCTTTCTGCCACTTAATTAAGTCCCTCTGCATTCGTATGGAGCACCGGCGGTGCGCCCCAGCGGTGCGCCCCAGCTGGTTTCAGTCACTTATGTGTGTTTTCTCCAACAGCCTTTACTTCTCTTTCCGGTATGTCTTTCCCATGCCCGTTTTGGCCACCACGCCAATACAAACAATGCCGCCAATGCTGCCAAACAACGTGCTCATCGTTTACCACGATGAGCTCTCATATCCCGCCAAATACTACTATTTCTTTCTGCATTTTGGGGCAGTACACGAGGACTACAGGCCTCACTCTACTGATATATCAACGCACGAAGGCCTGGCTCTGCTTTCTGCACACGTGGCCCTCACAACCATTCAACACTCCGGCAGTCTTCGACTCTTCGTCTGGTGGTGCAATGACAGCACAAGTACCTCAGCGCTTTGACAGACCAAGCCTGGTGCTGCTTTCTGCACACGTGGCCCCTGCGACAGATCAACCAACTCTGTGGGAACATGTTCAACATTGCTGCGGTCTTTGACTCATTCATTTGCCAGTACAATGACCGCACAAGTACTTTAGCCTTTTGTGTGAGGGACTGTGAAGATTCCAAGGGTTATTGGGCTAATTATTGAGGCATGATACATAGACAGCGAGCTTGTACTACTTCAGACAGGATGAGCAAATGAAATGTAGGATATTGCCAAGCTATTCTATGTGTTTTCGGTGTCGGATTCAACATGCGCATTACTCTTTTTTGAACGCCGAGTCCCCTTCTTTGTTGGCCCACACCGTGCGCGGGTCCTTGACTCCAGTTCAGATTGGCCTTTCTCCGTGAGTTTCCGAGCACGTTTCGAACGTGAAGTGCCGGTAGACACATCTGCGGCCCTCTTACCACGGTTGGTCGCCACGACAAGAACATGCGCTTCACCAGCTATTGGAAGAGGAGTAGGCATGGGTGGAGTGGGAGGAAACTGTACCATGGGAGGTCCATTGTCAGAAGCGGCTGAAAGACAACATCAACACTGTTTATACAAGAGTAGATTATAAATATTTACCATGATCAAGCGCACGAAGCGCGGGATCCACCATTTCATCTGTGAATGAGGAGGGGCGCACATAAGGCTCTGACGAAGCCACACAAATGTTGGCCGGCTGTGTCAAATTGGGAGTGGGCAAGTTGGGTGGCATCGAGGGCTCCAGGTCAGGAGTGAGAGAGGGCTCGAGATTAGGAGTGAGAGAGGGCTCGATATCAGGAGTGAGAGAGGGCTCGATATCAGGAGCGAGAGAGGGCTCGATATCAGGAGTGAGAGAGGGCTCGATATCAGGAGTGAGAGAGGGCTCGATATCAGGAGCGAGAGAGGGCTCGAGATCAGGAGTGAGAGTCTCTCCATCCTTGATACGACGCATCCGCTCTTTGGCTTCCTGTGGTGTTATTGTTACAAACTTACAGGTATTGGCCTGAATCGCAAGGACCACGTTCTCGAGGCTCTCGATGCCACCTTTCAGGTCAGAGGGATTGGCCCAGTAGGGGTGGTTCCATCCTACGAGCTTAACATGGTAGCGCTGGACAAGATCATTATAGCATTTGAATTCCATTACTGCTGCTGGATTATTCGTCACTTCGCCTGCAGTGAATCAGCGGATAATTTAAAACACAAAAAAACGGGGCTTACAAAGTGATACACGAAGACCATTTCGAATGGCAGCCTTCGCATTAGCAACACGCTGTCGATGATTAGCAGCTGTGTCTGGATTACAATAAAATTGAGCCATGCATACGGGAGAAAAATGTTAGGTACTAACTCATAATGAGGCCATTGGCCAGTATTGTGCTCTCGAAGTCGGTTGCCATTTGCGCGATGTCCTTGCGTAGATATAGACGAACAAAGTGTTCAGCCGCGGGGCTTGTGAAGAACGCCTTCGGCACCATGGTGAAGTCGGAAACACCACGAACCATAACGATGAAAGCTTCAGCGCCAATGCGTTCCTTGAGAGCTTCGAGCTTCATGAAGTATTAGTCAAACGCACAAGCAAATGTAACACGGCAAGTACACACCTCTTCTCTCACAAACTGGAAACTCCGGGAACATTCAGCAGAACGCGATTTAGCGGTGATATTTGGAGGACGATCCTGAGAGCTCTTTTTGACTTTATCAAAGTCAATTATAAGCTGTTCCTTCTCCTCAGTGGTAAGGCGGTGGTACTCCGTTTTTTCCTTGACGAGATCGGCTATGTTCGACTTCTCACTGAAACTTTTATCTAGGACAGCCGTAGTTAGTGACGAGCACAGTAGTAGTACAATGGGGAAAAACTTACTGGCATTGTTCTCGATGCCTTTGAAGTGCATATAAGCATGCCAGGCACTTGTCTTGTTGTGTTTGCGGCGGTGGATAACAGAACCGAGTGACAACCGCTCAAGGTAGCGGCGTCGAGGTTGTTTGAACTTCGACGCCAACTCTGTGGCCTTCGCATGAATGTAATTTAGAACGGCCTGAATTTCTTGGTCCTCATCGAGGCGCTTAGCCTGTCGCCGCTCTGTCAGTTGCTGACGCACTTCTTTCGATACTTTGATATACGGGGCACGCGCCCGAGGAACCAACCGTCGAGGATTGTGTGAGCGAGCAGTTACTGGGAGCACCATCACAGTAATTCTGACGGTGAACGAGGTGACAGGCTGAGAGGTTGAATAGCATTATAAACGAATCATACAAGGTCAGATTAAAAAAAAAACGGTACAAAAAGTATTATGAGAGCGACACCTGAGAATCAGTCAACATAGCATTCCCGATGGCCTCCGCGTGCTCCCCCGAAATCTCAGCGAGCTCCTGCAATTTCATAATCCACCGCTTTGGAAGGAAATCTTTGCTGATTGATATGCAGACCCGATGAAAATGATCCGGGTAGCCTAGCTCTTCTAGGACTGCCTCCGTTTCAGTCCCATAAGGAAGAAGTGTCGGCACGTTATATTGCCGTGATTCAGAGGGGGACCTAGCAGCGATCAACATGGGTGTGATGGGTGTGGGTAGAGACCATCCAAAGGATGCGCTTTTGCCCTTTGTAGGAGTTGCAGGAGGGTAACATCTCTGAGCCTGGTCACTCATTGGAGGAGGGTAACGTCTATCGTCGCTGTTCGACGGAGGGTAACGTCTATTGTCGCTGTTTGACGGAGGGTGACGTCTCTTACCCTGGTCACTGCTCGAGGACTCACTGCTCGTGGACTGGTCGAGAACGGTAAGGGTCATTGGCTGAGGGATCAATTAGACAATAGTTCGAGTGAGAAAAACAAAAATTTACCTGACGTACACTCGTTGCCGATACGGCAGTCCTCCGACTCGGCTCCTCTTTGCGGATCAAATGACTCGTACTGACCCTCTCCATTGGCTGAGCGATCAATTAGACAATAGTTTGACTAAGAAATACAAAAATGTACCTGACGTACACTCGCTGCTTGTACGGCAATCCTCCGACTCGGCTCCTCTTTGGGGACCAGATGACTCGTGCTGACACTCTCCCGAGTATGCGTTAGTCGGATCTGAGTTGGCTTCCACGTGATTCTGCCATCGTAGACGGGCACGTATGATAAGATGGAGCCTGAACTCAGGAGACCTTCTAAAGAGCCTCGAGGACGTCCATGAAAAGTGAAGTGCGTTGATGATGGTGAGACGGGTGAGGGAACAAGAGGCATGACATCGGCTCGCCCTTTGCCTTTCGATGTTGTCTTGCCTTTCGAAGGCGTTTGAGAGCCACTGCTGTTCCAATTGTTCTGAATCCGATTTTCTGCAAAGGCTCGGGCTAAAGGTGTCGCATAGTCAGCGATAAAGAGTTGAGAAATTTGAGCGATGACCGAGTGAAGCTCGTGATGGTCCAAGAGCACTTTGGGATTGACATAAACTTCAGCCTTGAGGTTTTCAGGAGAGACGTCCAAGCCTGGAGATGTAGCGCCAGGATGATGCAGGACAATTGTTGAACCACCCGTCAACCTATCTAAGGCGGTGCACTGAACATGCGGTTCAGCAGAAGGAAAGGTGTGAATGAGAGGCGACACTTGCCAGGTCAAATATAGTGTGCAAGATCTGCTCTGCATGAGTCGCTCGAGCCCGCCAATTCTTTAACCTGTCCTGCTCTGTAGCTGGCTGAGTTTTAGAATACCCGGTGAGATAGTGTTGGCTAGTCAGTGCGTGAAAGCCGTTTGTCTGCTCTAGATGCCCATCATCACTGTGGAATCCGTGCGTAACCAAAGATAAGAGCGCAGAGTTCCAGCGACGGTCGTGTCCAGCAATTGAATTGAGATGTTCAGGGCAAGGAAGTAGAGCCTTGCACTCTTCAATGCCATTAAGTGTAGGAGATCTGTTGAATGCAGAGGATTTCCAGTCTAAGAGGTTAGAGGACATGATGGACAACGACTGAGATGACCTGGAGGTTGCAATGAGGCAATGGTGTTCGCTTATTTATGTAAGATCTGGCAGCGCAAATATCATCATGAACACGCTACAATTCAAGCTCACTGCAACAATGTATAATGCGAATGACTTACTGTGTTGCACATGATATATAACGACTCAGAACAGTAGTAGCTCACTCTATTAAGTACTGATTGATATACCTGCGTCCGTCATAAATCCTCAGTTGTAAATCAATCATCAATTCACAGATATTAGTGTACTGTCTGAATCACTAAATTCAAAGGTACGCAGCGCATATTTCATTTTCATGGCCAAACGATCTGCAAAATTCTCGGGGCGTTATACTTTCACAATCTAGCATTGAAGGCAAAGGCATTGATATGATATGATGATCTATAGCTATTACATGACAACGGTATGACTATTCTGCGGATTCTGAGTCTACACGGTGATGATCAAGTCCCTCGATGTAAGCTTGTACGTCTTCCAGCTGTTGCTCAAGCTCTACATTGTCTCCGTCTCCCTCCTCTCTATCCTGTTCATGTGGCACAGCTTCGTAGGGAGAGGCACACGCAACGTCAATCCGACCTACACGACTGCCAGGGTTCTTTGGCCCACTGTAACCAGGAAGCTGCATGATTTGCTGGATGCGCCAAATGTGACGTGCGTTGACGGACCGAAGCTGTGTCCAGCGACGCTGGAGTTCGGCTGCAAGGGGTGGGTCACTGGACTGAAGTTGTGCGATGGCATGGGGGTAATCAACGGCATCATCTCGCATCTTTGTGAGTAAACGTCCGAGCTCGACATCCAGCCGACGAATCTCTTCATTAGCACGTTGGTGCTCAAAATATTGCGTGGACGCGTGTCGGTAAGATGGGTTGGCCCAACTCTTTGACTGGATCTCCCCATCTGTTTCCCGTAACAAGTCAAATTCGGCAAGGAAAGAATACTCTACAATCTGGTCCCATTGTAATGGGGGGCGGGGAGGGCTTAGGAGAGCGCCGTATTTGTTGTATCGAGTAAGGGCGTTTCGAATTGCATTCGCACGACTCTTGAGTGCCTTGGAGATTTGAGTGCGAAGCTTGTAACCTACAAAGACAAGTGTTAAAAATGCGAAATCATAGTGTAAAGCCCTACCTAGACCACTCATTTGTAGCTTAGTCAACTCAAGCAGACGCATGACGACAAGGCGTTCAACGTCATCTACAGCCTTGTGGAAGAGCCGATTGGTAATGCGTGACTGTGCCTTCATCCGTTCGGGGTGGTCTGGACCCCATCTCGAGTCCAGCGCCATTTGATGTTCGTAATGCGTGACAATCTCCAGTTTCTGATCACGTTTGTTAGTAGCATTCGCATGACGGCGGTGTATGTCGCCAGATTCCTTCGTAGAATAATTGAGGCGTAAATCGAGCTCGCTGAACGCCACACGCGCAGATTCATATGAACGCCTTACATAGTCATAGTATTAACGTGATCTGTCCACGGCTGAACAAAAAACTTACTGGGCTTCGTCATACTCATTCAATGCTCTTACATAGTCAACTTCCACGGTGGATTCTTCCTTCTTGCGAGCGAGGCGTTGTAAAACTTGGTGCTCATCCTTAAGATCATCTTCGAAGTTGGGCTTGATGGTGGCATTTGATGCGTGGAAGTTGGCGAGGAATATGCTTGTCGTAGAGATGATTGTCAGCGCTTGGACGTAATTATTATAGATGAAGTCAGCTACATTCGGGGTTAGCGTGGAGTCCGCAAAAAATGATGTGACATACATAGGGCTGCAAATTTGTCCAAATCGGCAAAGGCGAAATGTTCGTCAAGCGCTTGGTGACGGTGAAAATCGGTGGCGTTGCGAATTTGGGCTGCAAGTGCATTAGATTCAGAGAAGACCCGTTCACAGGTCTCGAAATCCTCCTTCCCCGCACCGACTTTATACTTCGAATGATGCTCAACTTGGCAAAGTCGGTTGTGGGCGTGTCCGTGGAAGGCGGGCACAACACCCTGCAGGTTTAAGCGTTTTGCATCGTCAGCGAGCGAACTCCGTTGTATAATCTTTTCGAAGGCGCATTTGATATCATACCCGTAAAGAATATTGCTGCCAAAGACGTCCATAAGCTTCTTCACACTAGCAATCGGGTATTTCATCCTGGCAATGTGTTAGCCTGCATATCAAACATTAGATAGGTGGAACCGAAATACAATTCGCCGCTTCGGACCATATCGCAAATTGTAAGGAGAAACCCGTGCCAGCATACTGTGACAAAAATCCCTGACTTCTTGAATATAGCAAACATCTTCTTGCGTGATTCGGGCGCTGCATTACGCCAGCGGTCAACGCATATGGTGGGTGGCTCTGCAGAATCGTTCGAGTCCGGTTCGTCTATCCACGGATCGTCAGGGTCACTAGGTTGTTGCCGAGCAGGTTGCCTAGCTTGACGTGCCCGCGCAGATCGGACTTCATCCTTAAATTGGTCAACATATGACTCCGTGAGCCAGATGGATGATAGCCCTGAGCGAGGGTCAAGACGTTCCTCACCGCTACGTACTGCGGGATCAACCAGTTTGGCTGAGTTGTTCCCATCACATGCGCACAGAATCGAGAAGTCCAGAGTCGGCTCATTGACCAGCTTGTATTGGCAAGCTGGACAAGAATTCAGCATGCGCCAGTTCTCTGTGTCACGTCCAAGGAACTTGTCGAGTCGGCTATTGATGCGACGATGTATTTCGAGATACACGTCGAATGCAGTGCGCATCTGTTCGGCTAGGTGCCGACGATAACAAAGCTAGGGCAATATAAGAATATGTACAAGAGGATGACAAAAGACTCACGTTATGCATGAAACAAAGCATCTTCGCGGCAGCGTGGATGCTAAACCTTGGGCATACCCGATGACTTTGTCGGAACACGTCAAGGGTACGGATGGTAATCGCAACCGTTGGGCGAGTAGGCGAGCTGCCTATGCAGCCGTTATGAAGTAAGGACACGTTGATGAATGGGGAAATGGATCTGAAAGTTTGGACACGGCGCTCTAAGTGAATGTTAGATATGCGAACATTACTGGAATAGACAGCGCACCAAAAAGATCAACAACTTCAATTGAAAAATTCTCTGCCTCGTTGTCAGAGAGTGGAGGTGGAGTGCAGTTTTGCTTGTACGTCAGAAAAGCATTGGTGAGATCGTCGTATTGTGAGGCCCACTCCGCTACGAGGTGTGCAATCCGTCCGCTGCGATTGCGGGTGTCAAGTCGTCTATTCATATATTCAGTAAGAGGAGATTGTGCGCAGAGATAAATGGAGGAATACCGTGTCTTTGTCATTGTAATAGTCTCAAGCTCCCGGTACAGCGAAATTTCGTCTCCAGCATGACTTACTGAGAACCCTTCCTCACCAGGAGGAGGGACCATAGAGTCTACATCCATGAAATAGGCGGAGAAGTCGGTGAGGTCGAAATTGTCCGACGGTACTTGCGACGACATGCTTGGTCCACCACTCTCTGCGCTTAGCAAACGCTCACGCTCCACCAAAGGAAGTTCTGGGAGACCGTCAGTGGAAACAGAATGGAAGTACAAATGAGCCATACCTTTGAGGAGAGCAGAGCGAATTTCACGGGCGTCCTGTTGACGTTCGCGAATGGCTCCAGCACGCAATGTTTTGGCTTTGCCCCCGCCACCAACATGAACAACGCATCGTCTTGAAACCCCGCCCAGAGAATTGCGACTGGGGGGCATGGGGAACAGAGGCGTAGATGAGGTGTAGTGAGTGCTAGCAGTAACAAGGAGGTTAGGGTGTTTCCCACGTTACCTTGTTGATTTGTTGCGGGGGCCACGTGTGCAGAAAGCAGAGCCAGGCCTTCGTGCGTTGATATATCAGTAGAGTGAGGCCTGTAGTCCTCGTGTACTGCCCCAAAATGCAGAAAGAAATAGTAGTATTTGGCGGGATATGAGAGCTCATCGTGGTAAACGATGAGCACGTTGTTTGGCAGCATTGGCGGCATTGTTTGTATTGGCGTGGTGGCCAAAACGGGCATGGGAAAGACATACCGGAAAGAGAAGTAAAGGCTGTTGGAGAAAACACGCATAAGTGACTGAAACCAGCTGGGGCGCACCGCTGGGGCGCACCGCCGGTGCTCCATACGAATGCAGAGGGACTTAATTAAGTGGCAGAAAGAGTGCCGTGAGGCCACTTAACTAATTGAGATATGTGGGAATCATAGGTGTCAGTCTGTTGCTTCAAGCGTAGGCGTGCCCCGTCTCGGAACCATCACTTTGACTGAATCGTCGGGTGCCGCAGATTTCACCCAGGCGTCGTGGAATACCTCGGAGGAGGTCATGGTTCGACCTCTTTGTGTCTAGCATGGTATATTTATGCATCTATGGTGGGTCAGGTTCATATTACAGCAGTCGAAATGGTGCTTGCTGTCCGAGGTAGGATCTCGTGAACGTATTTGAAACTTTATTGACGGAGAAATCAGTATACGCACTCTACAACCGGAGTCGTCGTATTGCTTTCCTGATCGGCTTTCAGATCTTGCTTGAAGTCGCTTCTTCGGTGGTGAATACGGTATATGCCGTAAGAATTACCAGATCCTGTATGTTTTCCAAGCCGCCCCATCAACTGCTGTACCACGGGTGAGTAGCTTACGACTTGGATGCGATGTTTTATTATGGAATACATATTATTCCTACAGCATTATAGTCTTGTCCACACATACCACCTTGATGGGACTTCCATTGTTGAAGCATGTCCTCACTAGGAGCTCGGGATGGGGGAGGACACCGCTTGTATCCCTAATTTTGCGCGACGGCAGTGCGGTCCACTTTGTCGTATCTGGTCAGAGACTTCGTTTCTGGCACTTATTCCAACATTCATTAAGCCCTATAGCACTATGTGTCGTGATGATCGGCTTCTGTCGACTAGATGGCGAAAGAGCAACAGTAATGTTTTTGTGCATATGGCCCTTTATACTCCCGTTCTGTGCTGACTACATGTTTTACTCGTTCCAGCTGGAGTTTATCTATACTTTCCTCATGTGTGAGTTGTTGGTTGAGAACGTCCGATTCGTGCAGCCCACTCAGCTTACTGCTAGGGATGCTGGCTGCTCATGAACACGCAACGGCTGGTCACTCATCCTACACACAGAGTGAGCAGTACTTCCATCCGAGCCTCTGTGCTCAGCACTCATATCGAGATCGAACAATGACATGTCAGTCAACCCCGTTCGGGCTCGCTGTATTTTTAACATCGAATACATCTGGCTCAGTGGCTAGACATCTAGTAGACAATAGCTATACGGTGACCCCGAACCTGGAGTTTCCAGCTCTGCTTTATATTTAATACAGTCTCACGACCATTTAATCTATATTCAAGCCCGTGTATCAACTATCGAGTGCGTTATTATGTTTTGAGAGGTCGTGAACTTGAAGGTCAGTGGCCAACGGGTCCGGGATGTCCTTCAATCATTATCATAGGTCAGATGATCAGTACTGTGACATTTACACCTGCATAGCAGATCTATCCATATGAACTTTTGTGATGTCCAACCTAGAAAATAGGCAAGTAGAAACATCATTGAGACAGGATATCGATGCCGCAAGCTTTACTAGGTCGGACGGGTATATAGTATCAGTATGTATATAATGTATACCTAAGTCACGCAGACTCGTCGCAGAGCATGTCATCATCTGAATCTCAATAAGCATTCGTTTCAATCATACCCCATAACTTGCAACCCATGCGCTGGGACATGCATGATTTACATGCGTGCGCATAGGAGGTTCGGCGTCTAACCAGAGCCTGGGCCATAAACTTACGTACATGGTCCCGGTGACCGGTCCTGATTGATCAGAAAAGGAAATTCGTTGTGTAAGTCATTTGCACCAAACTTATCGCAAGCTTTACTCGATACACCCGTGACACTCTCTTGCAAAGGCATCGCACAGGGGGGAAAAGTAACGATCACCGGTCACAATGGCCACTATCGGGGAGGAGGAAAACGATTGGGAGCATGTAAACCGCACGAACTGGCGTGGTTTAGGACTCGCAGATCCAATCAAGAAGGTCGAGGTACTTTTCATTTTTGCGCGTAGTTCTTCTTGCGCTCATCATCAGCTCCTCAGGATAAATGGTTGTTATTGCCTGCATTCCTGAAAATCAAAGGTTTAGTCAAACAGCATATCGACTCCTTCAATTATTTCGTCGATGTGGACATCAAAAACATTGTGAGAGCCAACAACAAGGTCACCTCAGATGTCGATCCTCGCTTTTGGCTCAAGTACACGGATATTCATGTCGGCTTCCCCGACCGCACCGATTTGGACGCGATAGACAAGAGTATCACGCCTCATGAATGTCGGTTACGCGATATCACTTATAGTGCTCCGGTTCTTGTCACTATTCAATACACTCGAGGAAAGAACGTTGTACGCAGACCTAACGTTAACATTGGACGACTACCGATTATGTTGAGGAGCAATAAATGTGTGCTCACTGGCAGGAATGAAGCGCAGCTGGCTCGAATGACGGAGTGTCCCCTTGATCCCGGTGGTTATTTCGTTGTCAAAGGCACGGAGAAGGTTATTCTGGTTCAAGAGCAGCTGAGCAAGAATCGTATAATTGTCGAAACTGACACTGTCAAAGGGATTGTGCAAGCCTCGTGTACCTCGTGAGTCATTATCCGGATCTCAATTTCTTTCGCTGAAACTTCTTCTGCTTAAAGTTCAACGCACGGCGGGCTCAAGTCCAAAACCTATGTTGCCACGAAAAAGGGGAAAATCTATCTTCGACACAATTGCATTCATGAAGATGTCCCGATTGTCATTGCGTTGAAGGCGCTCGGTATCCAGTCCGACAAAGAAATCCTTCTTTTGACTGCTGGAAACACGGAGGCCTATAAGATTGCCTTTTCTGCCAATCTTGAGGAGGCTGCCAAGTCGGGCGTATTCACAAGACATCAGGCACTTGAATGGATAGGATCCCGGGTAAAAGTCAACCGAAAAGTTGTTGGTCCACGAAGACCTACCTGGGAGGAAGCCTTGGAAGCACTTGCGACCATTGTCCTAGCCCATGTTCCTGTGATAGGCTTGGACTTCCGGTCGAAGGCGATTTTTGTGGCTACCATGACTCGCCGAGTTTTGATGGCGATGGATGATGAGAAAATGGTTGACGATCGGGATTATGTTGGGAACAAACGATTAGAACTGTACGTCTCTTCTTTTCTTTTCACCATAGACAATGGGTCAATGGTACCTAGTGCGGGGCAGTTGCTTGCCTTGCTGTTCGAAGACCTGTTCAAAACTTTCAATGCCAATCTCAAATCGGCAATCGATAAGGTCCTTAAGAAGCCATCAAGGACCAACGAATTCGACGCTTTCAATACGATGCAATTTCAGGGAGATCACATAACTGCCGGATTCGTACGCGCCATTTCCACTGGGAATTGGTCATTGAAAAGGTTCAAAATGGAGCGTGCAGGAGTCACGCATGTTCTCAGCAGACTGAGCTTCATATCTGCCCTAGGAATGATGACACGCATATCTTCCCAATTTGAAAAGACTAGAAAGGTCAGCGGACCTCGTGCTTTACAGCCTAGTCAGTGGGGTATGTTATGTCCAAGTGATACTCCGGAAGGAGAAGCTTGTGGACTGGTCAAGAATCTCGCGTTGATGACACACATAACCACGGACGTAGAAGAAGGACCGATCATCCGTTTGGCATTGATGCTCGGTGTCGAAGGTGCGTTCGGATCTCGTCATACCTATATCTAATGCAAAATTATTGCTAGATATCAGCTTAGCCACGGGCACAGAGATATACGGACCCCATACCTTTGTGGTTAACGTGAATGGCACGATCATTGGACTGATTCGGTATCCGATGCGATTTGTAACAAACTTCCGCAGACTGCGCAGAGCGGGCCGCTTCAGCGAATTTGTTGGTATTTATGTTAATCACCATCATCACGCTGTTCACATAGCAAGCGACGGTGGACGAATCTGCCGACCAATGATCATCGTGGAGAACGGCCGCCCAAGAGTCACATCAGAGCATATCGCGGTAAGATTCTATTTCTGACGCTAAAGCAGATTGGTGAATTCATTTATTTCATTCAGCAACTCAAGCAAGGCGCTGCTTCATTCGATGACTTCCTCCGAAATGGTCTCGTGGAATACCTCGATGTGAACGAAGAGAACGATTCGTATATCGCACTATATGAGTCCGATATCATCGCAACAACCACGCATCTGGAGATCGAGCCATTTACTATCTTGGGCGCTGTCGCCGGTCTTATACCATATCCCCACCACAATCAATCTCCTCGAAATACCTATCAATGTGCTATGGGTAAGCAGGCGATAGGCGCAATCGGCTACAACCAACTCAATAGGATCGACACGCTTCTTTACTTATCCGTGTATCCGCAACAGCCGATGGTCAAGACGAAAACTATCGAACTTATTGGGTACGACCGTCTGCCGGCCGGTCAAAATGCTACCGTCGCAGTGATGAGCTATTCTGGGTATGATATTGAAGATGCTCTCATTCAAAATAAAGTTGGCCACTATTTCCTGTTCTGCATGTCAGCAGGTAATCTGACTTGACCCGTAGGCAAGTCTCGACCGTGGTTATGGAAGGTGCCAAGTTCTGCGCAAGAACGCTACTCTCATTCGGAAATACCCAAACGGCACGTGAGTGGAGCGTTTTGTTGAGCGCCCGTCTTTATCTCATTGCCGATCTTTAGCTTTGATCGGCTGGCAGATGCTCCTTTGGATGAGAACGGGCAAACTCAGAAAAAATATGATATCGTTCAACTTGACGGTCTCGCTGGCGTCGGCGAGCGAGTTGACCCGGGGGATGTCTATGTTAACAAGCAAACGCCAACGAACGCCAACGATAATACTTTCAGCGGCCAAGCAGCTGCGGTCCCATACAAGAACGCGCCGATGTCCTACAAATCCCCAGTTGCTGGTTACGTCGATAAAGTCATGATCAGCGATACCGAAAACGACCAAACGTTGATCAAAGTCTTGATCCGACAGACGCGGAGGCCGGAACTGGGTGACAAATTCTCATCTCGACACGGCCAGAAAGGTGTATGCGGTCTGATCGTAAACCAAGAGGACATGCCTTTCAACGATCAGGGAATCAACCCCGGTAAGGTATACATGTCCCTGGCTGGTGTTCACTTAGTTAACTTTGGGGTCAGATACCATCATGAACCCGCATGGATTCCCATCTCGAATGACGGTCGGCAAGATGATCGAGCTTTTAGCAGGGAAGGTAATCCCCGCCGACATTTACACACGAGTTCTCTGAGCTAAATCTGCTTGGCAGGCCGGGGTCTTAAGTGGTAAACTGCAGTACGGTACAGCATTTGGAGGCTCCAAGGTACAGATACGCTGCCGCCGATCGATCTTGATGACGAATTATCTTACCACAGGTTGAAGACATGTCCCGGATCTTAATCGAGCACGGCTTTAATTATGCTGGCAAGGACATGCTCACAAGCGGTATCACTGGTGAGGCCTTGGAAGCTTATGTCTATTTTGGTCCAATATACTATCAAGTCTGTCGATTCCCTGCGTCATATAAGGTTTCAGCTAATTGATTGTCTCACAGAAACTGAGTGAGAGAAGTCCCACATTATCACTGTCTGTGATTAACTCCCATGCGCCACAGAACACATGGTAATGGACAAAATGCACGCCCGCGCCAGGTACGATCGAGCGACGCTGAGAAATCATGGAACTATTACTGACTTGTCGATGTTTCTCCGAAGAGGGCCACGTGCAACTTTGACGCGCCAGCCTACTGAAGGTCGGTCCCGCGAGGGTGGTCTACGACTTGGGGAAATGGAGCGGGACTGTCTCATAGGTTATGGTGCAACTCAGCTGTTGCTTGAACGCCTGATGATTTCTTCTGACAAGTTCGAGGTGAACGCTTGCCAGGAATGCGGTCTCATGGGGTACAACGGGTGGTGTACATACTGCAAGAGTTCGAAGAAGATGGCTAAGCTCACCATTCCGTACGCTGCAAAATTATTATTCCAAGAGGTTCGTCAGCGTTCGTACACTTCGTGAACAAGTACTGATTGTCTGTACAGCTGATGGCAATGAATATCGTTCCCCGGCTAATCCTTGATGATGCATAATCCTTGTATAACATGATACAACACTACGCTTTTCCATCCCAGGCTTGTACTGCCTAACAGATGTTATCAATCTGCGGCTGCACCTCATTGCACCTGTAACTTCGGAGCGCCCGGTTAATGTGCGCCGGAGTGTAATGATGCTTATGTACAATTTCACTCAGTCAATCCAAGAAAACGCACGAGATCAAAATCTACTTGAGATGTGGAGGACAGCCGATTTTGAG